CACAAGTCCTAGGAACTGGTATTAGCCAAACCAGCCTACAGCAGGTCTAAGCTGCTGGGCCCTATGGAAAAGCTGGGGGAAAACACTCACTAGGCCCAGATGGGTAAACTATTCCATGTGCCATCTTGGAATTAAATGAACTATGTGGGCCATGATAAACCAACTATTTTGTACATATGAAGACAAGGGGAACACAGTCAAATCCTGGTTCCCCAAGTCAGTTGTGACTTTGAGCAACAAACTCTTATTTGTTAAGTCTAAGTTCCTCACCTGAAAAACAGGTTGTTCTGGGGATTAAGCCCCAACTCACAAGTACAAACACTAACAAGCACTCAGTACATAAGAACCATGCACCCAGCATTGAGCCAAGTTTCACATTCGTAATTTAATTTAATTCTTACAAAGATTCCACCAACTGGTATTAGAATGTTAAGTTTATAGGTGAAGAAAGAAACTGAGGCAAGGAATTAAGTAAATTTCCCAAGGTATATAGCTTACAAGTGGGAAGCCAGAGCTCTAATCTGGCCAGCCCAGCTCCAGTGATGCATTCTTCACTGCTAGGCCCATTTATTTAGATATGTAAGGTTCTATCGCTATGCCTCGGCTCATCATCTATAAAACTGAACTAATGCACTGTGCTTCCAAGGTTACTGTAAAGTTTAAATCAAATAACCTATATGGTACCAAATGTAATACAAGTAGATCTAGTAGGAAAAGTTTTTTGTCCAGAGACCTGATTTGAAATCCCAGCTCTGCCATCCACTCCACAAATGGTCACAGATGAGTTACCCACTTTCACTGGGCAACAGTCTCCACAGCGGTAAAACTGGATTCACTCACTCACTCATTCATTTATTCATTCTCTCAAAATATGTGTTGTGTATCTACCATACACCAAATGTTATCTATATCCTAGCACTACAGCAACAAACACAAGGGACAAGATCCATGCACACTTGTGGGGATTACTTTTTAACAGGGAAGGCAGAATAATAAACATGTAACATGCAAGTAAACATATAACAATGCAAGATGGTTATGGGTAGTAAACACATAACATGCAAGACGGTTGTGGGTAGAACCGAGGAAAATAAAGCAGGGTAAGGGGAACATGGAATGTCAGGGATGGGCAGGGGTGCCTTGCTATCTCATAAAGAACTGTCAAAGAGCACCTCACTGATAGGATGACATTTGAGAAAAGGCCTGAAGGGATCAGGGACACCAGAGAGAAGAAAGTGCAAAGTTGGCCTGGGCATGCTAGAAATTTCAACTGCATGTGAAAAAATGCTCATCATCACTGGTCATTAGAGAAATGCAAATCAAAACTACATTGAGATACCATCTCAAGCCAGTTAGAATGGCGATCACTAAAAATCTGGAGACAACAGATGCTGGAGAGGATGTGGAGAAATAGGAACACTTTTACACTGCTGGTGGGAGTATAAATTAGTTCAACCATTGTGGAAGAGAGTCTGGCAATTCCTCAAGGACCTAGAAATAGAAATTCCACTTGACCCAGCAATCCCATTACTGGATATATATCCAAAGGATTATAAATAGTTCTATTATAAGGATACATGCACACAAAATGTTCATTGCAGCACTGTTTACAACAGCAAAGACTTGGAACCAGCCCAAATGCCCATCGATGATAGACTGGACAAGGAAAATGTGGCACAGATATGCCATGGAATACTATGCAGTCATAAAAAGCAATGAGTTTGTGTCCTTTGTAGGGACTTGGATGAACCAGGAAACCACCATTCTCAGCAAACTGATATGAGAACAGAAAATCAAACGCATGTGCCCACTCACAGGCGGGTGTGAACAATGAGAACACACGGATACAGGGAGGGGAACATTTCACACTGAGGTCTGTGAGGGGGACCTAGGGGAAGGGCAGTAGTGGGCGGGGAGTTGGAGAGGGATAACGTGGGGAGGAATGCCAGACATAGGTGATGGGGAAGAAGGCAGCAAACCACATTGCCATGTATGTACCTATACAAAAATCCTGCATGTTCTTCACATGTACCCCAAAACCTAAAATGCAATAAAATATATGTCAAAAAAAAAGAAAAGAAATTTCAACTGCAGGGTCAGTACCTGTGGAGGGGAGGAAGGAGAGTGTGGGGCAGGATAAGATAAGGTGAGAGTATGGCCAGGGTGATGCTACAGGACTTTGCAGGTCCTTATCTGGATTTTTACACTGAGTGAAAAGGAAAGGCTTTGATTTGGGGGCAGGAACAAGAACTGACTTACATTTTTAAAAGATCATTGACTACTGTGTGGAAAATGCATTACAGTGAGGAAAGGAGGGAAGCCCAGAAGCCAAAGAGGAGAGGCCTGCAACATCCAAGTGAGATAAGAGAGGCAAACTGAAGCCGTAGCAGCAATAAGGTCCTGAGGATTGGTCAGGGATGGAAGACACACAGAAGGCAGAGCTACACAGAGGCAGCCAGGGAGGGAGAGGAGAACCGAACTCTCAGTGGCATCATCTGGAAGCCAAGTGAGCCAAGGAAGGAGGGATCAACACATCAAATATTCCTGCGGTCTGAGCAAGATGAAGACTGGAAATGGATCCTTAGATTCGGCAAAGTGGAAGCTGTTAGTGACAGGCAAACTGTTTCAGTGGAGGAGTTGATGAGATGACTGAGAGTCTAGTCTCAATGGGTTTAAGAGAAAAAGGAGACTGGAAAGCAATACTAATGGAGATAAAGAAAAAGCACAAAAATAATGACTTCATAGAGCAAGTTAAAAGGATGCAGTAGATGCAGTTTTGACTTTGGAATCATATTAATATTATCTATATTCAAAAATTTAAATCAACAAGAATAGGATTTTAAAAACCTCTAAAATTAAATACAAATAGAAACCAATGAATCTAATTGTGTTTCAAATGACTAACACAAGGACAGCTGTACAAAGAATGAAACCAAACAACTTCAAGAACTTACTATTGATAAACTTTTAGCCAAAAAACAAAGAGAACTACTTTAATAAAAAATCTTGATCTCTCCCAGTGGGTTCATTTTTTCACAGTGGAAAGGGTGGAGTAATTCTGGAACTATGTGCATATATCACCAAATTGAGTAAATTTGCAGATATGGTGATGTTATTAAAGCCAGGGTTCTCACTGTTGGAGATGGGAAATAAAAATATGGAAGCAGGAAAAACAAGAAAGAACCCAGTGAGTCTGGACCGGAATTAAAGGCACCATTGTAAAGTACTAATTTTTTTAAAAATAATTACACATTTACACACACACACAGCCTGCTAAAGGGCCTAGACACAATGATACCCTCATAGCAATGAACACAGCTAGCACCAAATCTTGGTTGTTACATATCATTCCTCACTAAAAGGAATCAAGGCTACTTAGCGAAATGGCTTTTTCAGGACAGGAGCAGTACAAAGACAGCACAGAAAATCTATTTTGTCCCAGAAAATAAGGAAGTGCTCCCAAAAAGATGGAGACATGTCAAAAGAAACGGCCACTTACCAAATCTGGGACAATATAATATGAACATCAGAATGGATAACAGTCCACTGAATAAAATAAGAATCTTCAAGCCCATATTGATCAAAAACAAATAAACAAGAAATACATTAATAAAATAAATTTAATAGAGAATGTGTCCTTCTAGTAAACGTTACTTAATACAAATGAAAAAGGAACCTGAGAAAAAAATGCTAGTGTTAGAAAAAAAATCATCATAGTAACATTTGACTCAGGAATCAATAGAAAACTCATGGTAGAAGCCTGAAGAGGAACAGAATTCTTACAAAGTATCTTCTATGAATTATTTATTATACACCTTAATATAATTTACATTGGAGAAAACTGACAAACATTATCTTAAGGAAGTGATCAAAATAGTACCACCAAAAATAGGATTGATATTGTGGGCCTCCTTAAGAAAATACCGTAAGAACAAAATAATCTCTTATGTAGCATTCTTTCCAAAATTGTATGGCCAATGAAATCTAACCAATCTAATCTAATCATGAATTGAGTGATCAGGAAAGAACAGACAATCCCAAAGTGAGGGGCTAGCCTGAACTATTCAAGTACATTCACTCACATCATGAAAAGAAGAAAGGGTGAGGAACTACTCCAGATTAAAAGAGAACGGAGATACATGACAACTAAATGTAATGTGGGGACTGGATCCCGGATCAGGATCAGGATCCAGAATAAACTGTCATAAAAGATATTAGTGAATCAATTACCAAAATTTAAATATAGGCTGTAATATTATATAACAGTATATTAGACAACACTGTTTGTGATTGTGGTAACAGTACCATGGTTATGTACAAGAATATCCTTGGACTGAGGAACTACACCCTGAGTTATCTAGGAAGAAAGGAACATGATAGCATCAATCCACTCTCACAGGGCTCAGCAAGATAATAGTGCTGGTGTGTGTACAGACAGGGAAAAAAACAAATGTGGCAAATGCTAACAACGGATGAAAATGGGTGCACAGTAAGCTGTAGTCTCAAAACAAAATTTTACCTAGCACATAGCAAAGGTTTCTTTCATCCCTCCTCTGGCCATCTTTAACTCTTTGATATACTTTTTAACTGATAAAAATTTTGCTTGGTTGATCAGATTGTTCAGTTGCCAACATTTAAAACACATGAGTTTTCACACACACACACACACACAAATCCATCTTCTCTGGAAAATGTCTGAGATGTAAGAACTAGCAACCATGTGACCAGTGCTGAGGGGCAGCGCCTCCTAGCTAGCTTCACTCATGTACCTCGCCAACCTGGCCCTGAGGCGTCTAAACTGGACTCCTGCTTTGTAACCATGCCAACCACAAGCCATATGGAAGTGGTCAATGGAAGGAAGCAGTGGCTAGTGTGGCTCTACTATCACCTCAAGGGGTGAGAGATAAGTAAGGCCAAGGAGTTAGCTCCTCCTGTGCCTCTCCGAGAAGTCCTGGGTCAATTGCTTATGTCTTAGGACACACGCACCTCACCCTACTTACCGCTGAGAAATAGCTTTTCCAATTTCTCCAGCAGCTCAGCACATTGATTCAGCTGTTCCTGGAAACCCTCAGCCACGCAGCAATCCACGTCGCTGGCCTGCAGCAACTCCTCAAATGCCTTAATCATAGTATTCATGCGTTGACGGGAGATGACACAGATGCCATGGCCATCCTTAATCTGCTGCCGTTGAAGGGAGAGCTCCCTGGCTTGGGACTGAACTAATGAATCGTATCTGATAAAAGAAGGGAAAGAAAATACTTGGACCATTTTAGAATTGAATTTTTGTGACCTTAACGCTAATTGGAAAAATGACAGAGTACAATTTTTGAAAGCCTGCAGCTGTACAAGTATACATACTTTTAGAAAAATTGAAACTGCACAAGGTCACTCCTTCTTTGATTTCACACAGCCAACAAATGCTGGAACAAAGATTCTTCTGCAACATTTTTAACCTTATAAAGCCCCCAATTAAAGTACAGATTGGCAAGGACTCAGGCAAAAAATTAGTTTCCATACTCTTTAAAAATACTATTCTGAATTGTAGAAACAAGAGCCCCAAGGGTCAAAGGACCCACCAAAAATTCTCATGAAGTGTGGTAAAAATTAAGTGTACGGCAAGGAAAAAAAGATGGGACTCTCTCCTCCCGAATGAAATGTCAGTGAATAATCACGATGCTAACTACCGTTTATTGAGGGTCTAGGCCCTGTCAATAACTGAACTCAGTGCTTTATGTATTATCTGGTCCTCTCGGTCTTCCAACAAATGTATGAATGCCCCCTTTTACAGAAGAAGAAACTGACTGCAAAGCTAGTTAAGTGGTAAAGATTTCGGATTCCAACACAATTCTCACTTCGAAGCTCATTATGCAACATTACTTTCTCATCACCATGTGCCATCTTTTCCTTATGTGCGCCCATAAGAGAAAGGCACCGAGAAACACACAGGTCACTCGTGTAAACTGGCCACAATAACCTTGTTCCGGAGAGTAGCCTGGCAAAGATGCTGACACTTCGGTTCAACATAATGTTTCTTCTTCCTGGAAATGACAACACTACATGGGCTGGAGGTCGGTCACCTTCCATAGAGTGTGCACATGCAGATCACATGATACTGGCATTAAAGGTGGGGGCCGGTATCATGTGAGTACTGGAGTAACAGGGGTAACTCATGAGTAACATGAGTAAACATGGGTATTGGAGTGGGATAATGTGGGCTTGAACCCTGCGATGGCTCTGACCAGCTCTGTGAATGCTTTCTGCCAAGTCACAGCAGCTGCTTTAAGGCTCAGTTTCCTTATTTATAAAAACGAGTTTAGGAACACCTCCGTTTCAGGTGATTTTGAGGATTAGATAAGAAAAGTGCCAACCAGGGACCTGAGACAATAGCCTTTCAATAATTATAAGCTTCCTTCAATCTCACTGCTTTGGGAAGTCTTGAAAAATTTATCCTGGCTCCTAACAATTCAGAACAATGTGTTTGACTCAAATTAGTGACAAATGAAGGTCATCTTTACAAATGATCCCACTTTTGCCATATCTCATGAAGCAAAACTATATATATCTATGCCCATAAAGCATTATCTTCATGACCTAAGAATTCTTCTCTTTCAACACAGGCTTATTCTCTAAGATGACCTTAAAGGGTAAAGATATGGAAAATATTTATATTCCTCCTACCTTGCCTAGACATCAGCTTTAGTTTCACAGCACAGTGAAAGCCAGTAACAGAGTCCAGGAGTACACACCGCAGTTCAGCAAAGGCACTATCACTCACCAAGTGACTGTTATGAAACCTTTACCCTGAGCCCCCAACTTGAGGAGGGTGAAATCTGCCCTGCCAATTTTTAGAGCACCCAAGACTCGTAACTGACGTTCACATGTGTGGCCGCTGTTCCTCTTCTTTGTGGCCTCACCTCTCACTTCTTCACAGGACCTGGCTGCCTGAACCCTACCATCAAGCCTTCCCCAGAACACACTCCACCCATCACAGAGCAGCATTCTCTTTTAGCTCACAGGCTTTTACCTAGTGGCAATCCTGGGGGACAACAGGCTTAAATGGGGAGAAGGCAGAGGTGGAATGTACCTGGAAGGTGAGAGATCTCTGAACTTATTCTGCATATTATGAATCTCACTGAGGAGTTCCATGTTCAAATTCTGCTCCTTCTGCAGCTCGTATTCCTGTTCCTCCAGCTGCTGTTTGAGGTTCTCTGGCATTCTGCCATCCATCATCTCTGGGGCCAGCGGATGGAGGATTTTCATGTGTTTTACATATCGCACTTGGTGCAAACTTGAAAAGGTCATTTCTTCCTCATCAGAACCGCCCTTGGGCTTGTTCAAGCCATCCTGGGTCCCCTCTGTCCCACACAAAACTGTAATAATGGCCTCGCTGCACTGGGAGTGCTTTTGAAGATGAAATATGAAATTCTGGTAGCCTTCTAGCTCAGTTTCCAAGTCATGGATTTTTTGTTTTAAGTATTCTGTCTCATTTGAGGTATCAATGCTCTCTGACTGATCAGTCCCCATCACACTGACTTTAACAGAAGGCTGACTCTTGGAACTCAAACAAGTAGCTATTGAAGTTGGGCTCAGAACATCTTCAGGATTTTCTTTGCATGATGGCAAGATGGCAAGGTCATCAGGTGGGCAAACATCAGAGTCTGAAAATCAAATACATTTATGTCAATATCTCTTTTACTAAAATCCAACCCCTCTCTCCTTCCTCACAGCCATAGCCAAGCCAAGACCACTGCAGCGGCCTAACACACCTCCCTCAAAAAGGCCCTAGTCTTTCCCTCCTACCCCTTAATCACCCTCTTCCTCAGAATGACTGTTCCAAAAAGTAAATTTAACCATGATAAACCCACAGACATACGCCCTAAAATTCATCCATATTCCCACTGTCTACATGAAACCTTCCATGATCTAGTTCCACTGGCACCACTATGGAGATTCCTACAAAATTACTCATGATTTCCTCCACATAGCATGCTGCTTCATGCCTCCATGCTTTTGTATGGCCTGTGCACTCTGCCCAGAACATCCTCAGCCCTCTAGTCTACTCCTACCTAATGAACTCTTTCCATACCCAGATGTAATTTTCCTTCCTCTGCAAGCCCACTGCCAAACTATGCAATAGTCACAACTCGCTGTGGTTCTGTAGCACTTTGTACATATCACTCAAGACAAATATACTATGCACTGGGTGCTAAAGCAAGACTTTTAAGTGGCTTATTTATTGATTCACATAGCAATTAGCTATCTGAGTGCCTCTCTCCCTCACCAGACTGCATGCTTCTCCACAGCAGGGATGTGGCCTTTCATTTGCACATTCTCAGCATCTAGTGCAGTACCTAACCCAGATCAGACGTCAGTGTCAGTGTTGACAAATACTGAGAGACTGTGAAGCAAGAGTAAGGAACAATAATTCTAAATATCCATGACACGTGAGAGTCTTCTCATTTTCATGCCTAACAGTTTCCAGGAGATGCCAGGACATCTCCTTTAGTGAGGTGTTTTACTCACAGCCCTGCCAGGAAATATTTCCTAACAGCTATTAAGAGCTAAACCCTTAGAGATGCAACCAGACTTGTTTAAGAAGTGGAGTGGTGTAGCAGAAAGAATATGAAGCTTCGAAGGCTGCATAGACTGAGGCAAGTGACTTACTATCCAAGAGCCTCAGTTTCCCCGTGTCTAAAATGTGGAAAGAGATGTCTCATATGGTAGCAGTGAGGCTTCATTCAAGCTCAGGCCTGACTCCAGAGCTTCTGTTCTTAACCACTATGCCGCACTGCTGGCTGCCCAGGGAAAGTTCCGCTCAATAGAGACAGCTGTCTGAATACTTAAGAGGCAGTGGAATGTAGGAGTAAAACCTGCCTTTGAAATTCAACAGACATGGTTTCAAACTCTGGCTCTGCCACTTAGGCAAGTTACTTGACCCTCTGAGCCTTAGTAGCTTTATCTGTAAAATGGAAAGAACGTCATTCACTGTGAAAAGTTGTTTGTTTTTAGCAATTATATGGAACAATATCTGCAAAAAGAAAAAAAATGGCTAGCACAGTATCTGGCACATAGTAGTGAAGGAATCCAAATAACAAAAACATCCTCTAACCATTTGAAGACAGAGGAGACGCTCATCACTGGAGGCATGCATGCAAAGGCTCACCTAGAAAAATGCTACAAAAGCAACAATGTGAGTTGGACGGGGTGACCTAGGAGATCTCTCAGAAAGAAATTCACACAAAAATCCTTATCAGACTGCATGTCCCAATTTCTGGTTCTGCAATCTGCTCCTTGTGACTTTAGATACACTCTTGTCTCTATGATGCAAATACCGTAAAATATGGTATTTTTTTTTAGAAAGCAGCTGCTACACAACCTAAAGGAAGCATTCCTAATACCGTATTTTTATTGGACACAATTTTTTATGATAACTAGTCAATAAGAGCCTTGAGAATGGAGGCCATATCATCCAAGTCTGTTTCTCCAGTATCTGGCACAGGGCCTGAGAAGGAGAATATACACAGCAAGTACTTCTGGCTGAACAAGAAAGAGAAAGGGGAGCAGGGGAGGGAGATATCTCTCAGTAAGGCTTTGTTCCAGTGAATCACCTTCCAAGACAGGAAAACATCTTTGCTGTAACAACTTGATGATGATAGAATTTGGTCTATACTTCATGGCAAGAAGCATGTTCACTCATGGAAATAAAGATTAGTCTCAGGACTTTCCTTAAGTAATTATGAGGCATCACTAGTATCCCCATTTTACAGAAGAGGAGGTTGAGGCTTAGGGAGCTTAAGAATTAGCTCAGGGTTCAGGGTAAGTAAGCAGTAGAGCCCTTCCTCAAAGCCTGGCGGTCTGCCTCTAACATGCTGAACGCTGCTTCCCACCGTAACACTCCTGCAATGGAACCTCCTGTACCAGGGTGCATGAGCAAAGAGAGTTAGTTCTTAACCCTCAGTGTGAAGGCCAGGATGCCTATGAAATCCTTTATTCACATCCCAAGTATCTGTCAAGGGCCTCGTGAAAAAGAAACAGCAGTGAAGATGTCACACACAGCATCCAGCCTCAACTGGGCAACAATTAAGAGGTGGAAGTGGCTGGGCGCGGTGGCTCAAGCCTGTAATCCCAGCACTTTGGGAGGCCGAGGCGGGTGGATCACGAGGTCAAGAGATCGAGACCATCCTGGTCAACATGGTGAAACCCCGTCTCTACTAAAAATACAAAAAATAAGCTGGGCATGGTGGCGCGTGCCTGTAATCCCAGCTACTCAGGAGGCTGAGGCAGGAGAATTGCCTGAACCCAGGAGGCGGAGGTTGCAGTGAGCCGAGATCGCGCCATTACACTCCAGCCTGGGTAACAAGAGCGAAACTCCGTCTCAAAAAAAAAAAAAAAAGAGGTGGAAGTTCAGGCAGACGCAACTCATGTGCAAAGTTCTGGAAGCACAGTCAGAAAAATGAAAGATGTTCAGTCATGAAGGGAAGTCCTGACAGGGAAAGGGAAGCTGTCGACTGTTAAGAAGTCTTTATTAATAACTATGAAGAAGACATCAAAAGATCTCCCTAAGACCATTTATTAATATTTGCATTATAAGAAATACTGTAGTTCTACACCACTCAACAATTCAGCTAAGGCGGTCTTTATTGCCTGGTAGAGCAGCTTTCTACTCAAAGCCCAGAACATGCAGAAGCATGTGACCATGTATTCACTGCAGTGACTCTGGGCCTTGGAAAAATATACACCACAGGGAACAGTTTGTATACCACAACTCAGTATTTCTCCAGAGACTGGTGTTTCCATGGCCATCCATGACAAATTTAGGATTCTTGAGGACAATTATTTCTAACAGAGTGAATTAGATCTGGATTAATAGTGATTTTTTTTTTAATGAAGGAGGAAAAGATATAATGTAATAAGAATGTAGGCATTTGTTCATTCTGGTTGAAGGAGATCATGAGTATTTGCTATATTACCTTTTGTGCCTACTGTATGCTTCCAATACTTTATAATTTTAAAAAGAAAAGAATATAACTTTTTTTCTGTGCCCTCACCCACATCTCCGCACCTTTTCCACTGATCTGCCTGGCAAACCCCACAAACCCAGTCACTCAGCCTCAGGGTCTCCTCTGACCCACTCCTCCAGGCACATGGGCCAACGTGAGCACACCTCAGCAACAGGCAGCCCCACGCTGAATACTGACCACAGGTTGGGACCGTGGTCTCCTCTGAGCTGTGGGGTCCCTGAGAGCAGGCTGTGTCTTTTCATGTTGAACCACCAGAACCCAGTCCACTGCCTGGTAGAGAAGCATGCGGACACACGGACGGGTGAGCTCTGACATCCTATTCTACCTTAACTCTTCCCCTAGTTACCGGCTCGGTGACCCTGGGTCAATTACTTCCTAAAACCTCAGCTGCCCATGTGTTACACTGGAATGATAATAATGCCTCGAGAGGGCTGCTATGGGTTTAATAATAATTTTTAGATAAAACATCCCAAATGGTGCCTGGTGCATGGAAGCTGTTCAATACACACAGGGGTTGAATTCTGACCGATCTCGTAGCTTGTTTGCTGATCACTGTCCATTTCCTTGTCTCTCCAGGCAGATGTGGTTTTAATTCCTTTCTGCTCTCCTGGGCTGTCCTGGTAGGCTTCTCCCACTGAGGACTGAGCTACAGGCAATCACAAAGAGAAAGAAAATACATAAAACTGTAAGACTTGAAAGTTAGCCAAGCAACTGAGAAGAACACAAAGATACAACAGGGAAAATAAAAACACTGGGGAGGCAAAATGCAATTTATAAGATAAAATTAATCTATCGAGCTGCCATAACAGGACATAAAAAGCATAAATATACTGCAGCTTGTCTGAAATGGTTTAAGTCCAGGCCCTCAAAAAGCTGAGTGAGAAAATGGATTCTATCATTTCATGCCCATTTTTCCCAAGAAGAGAGAGGCCCTAGGGTTTCCTGGGCAACTGTCGAGGTAGCACCTGGGGTTAAGGCAGCCTGGTGTCTCAGTAAAAACTAAAAACAGTATTGAGTGCAAATGGCAAGCTAGGAGACAGCATGGTGGCTCACACCTATAATTCCAGCACTTTGGGAGGCTGAGGCAGAAGGGTCACTTGAGGCCAGAAACTCGAGACCAGCCTGGGCAAGATAGCAAGACCCCCATCTCTATACAATATAAAAAATTTAAATTTGAGTTTAAAAAAATGGCAAGCTGTGGGCAAAGTGCCAGGGACTCTGTTGAGCTAAGTTACCTCTGCCATAAAATCTTTCCTCCATGAAGGTCCCCACAACCCTGTACTGACTTAGTTAACTGCCACCTCTCCCAACCCCCACCAGACAGGGAGTTCTCATAGAGCAGAGACTGTATCTGATTTATTTCTCTCCTACCCCCAGTGCATGAGGCTGGAGAAGAAGCAGGTGCTCAGGTAATGTTCACTGAAGGAATGAGAAGATGCCTGGATGATGGCCGAATGGATCAGCAGAGGGTAGATAAGGAGATGGTGAGGGAAGAGCAATTCTACCAAAGGTCTTATTATCTGGAAACCTCAACTATGGTAAAACCAAAAGAAAACGTAAAATTAAATGGGACATACCTTTGGCTATGGATCATCATAAAATCCATACCAGAAGTATCAGACACTAGGCTTTGTGAAACAGTAAAGTACATGGCTTTGAAATTAGGCAAGCCGATTCCCACCTAGCTAGAAAAGTTCATCACTGTGTGACTGTAGCCAAGTTACTTTATCTCTGAAACTGGTGCCTTAATATAAGATGGTGGTAATTACTGTATTTGCCTCAAAGGACTATTGGGAAGACCCAATTAGATCATGTACTGAGAGTATATAGCAAGACTCAGTAAATAATAGGTGCTTGTTTTATTAACACCACAATATGTCCAAGACTCCAGAGTCATCTCCAATCCCTGAACCACTCTGGAAATCCTCAAATCTGATGCAGCCTTGCACCCTTCATTTGCAAGTCCCAAAGAACATTAATATCCTCTCTGAACATTCATCTCTCCCCGTCATTCTAAGTGAACCTGGGATGACCCCAAGGACACCGCTTCTCCTGCAGCCTTTGTGGTCATTTCCTTCCCAATAAATGTCTTTGCTCCTCACTTCCACTTCTAGATCATTTTCTCTCTTCCCTGAAAATTCCAGCTTTGCAGCTCATGCTTTCAGACTCTACCACAGACCACTCCATTTTACTGCAGTCATCCACAGTCCCAATTCACTGAATCCCTTGAGGTTAGGTGCCAACGTGGCTCCTAACTGCCTTCCTTCCCTATGTCGCTTTACGGTGTAATTCCTCAGAGCTACCTGTGCCTGCTGTCTCCAATCTCTCTCCTCCATTCTCTCTCTGGAACCCATGTCAATCAGGCCCCACCCACTCCACGGAAACAGCTCCCTTCAAGTACACCAATGATTTCCACATTTAAATCCCAAAGCCAATCCTCAGCCCTTGTCTTACCTGTCCTATAGCAATTATCTGACACAGCTAATCCCCTCCTTACTCAGCTTCTGGGAAGTCATCCTCTCTTGGCTCCTTCCTACCTCACTGCCTGGTCTTCTCAGTCTAACCTTTAACCTCTAGAGAGCTCCAGTTTCAATTTCTGGACCTTACTGCTATGGCTTCAAGTCATACAGCTATAAATATTACCAATATATTGCTATTTCCTAACTTTATATCTCTAGTCCAGGAACCTCTGCCCTTGACTCCAGCCTCATCTGTCTTCAGCTGCCTAACTGATATCTCCACCAGGATGGTCAACAGGCATCTCATATGTCCAAAGCAGACCCCGAATTGAGTCCCTCTCAAGCTTGAGTCTCATGCAGTCTTTCTCATCTCAGTGAATGACAACTCCATCCTTGCAAAGGTTCATATCCAAAGTGATCCTTTAAAGCAGAGGTTGGACTACCTTTCTTAAAGAGTCAAATAAGAAATACTTTAGGCTTTACAGGTCGTAGGGTCTCTATGGTAACTACTCAACTCGGCCATCATAGCACAAAAGCAAACAGACGATATGCAAACAAATGGGTGTGGCTGTGTTTCAATAAAACTTTATTTTCAAAAATAGGAAGTGAGTTGGATTTGGCCCACAGCATGTGGTTTGTCAACTCCTTTTTTTATTTTTTTGAGATGGAGTTTCCCTCGTCTTGGCTCCCCAAAACCTCTGCCTCCCGGGTTCAAGTGATTCTCCTACTTCAGCCTCCCAAGTAGCTGAGATTACAAGCACACACTACCACGCCTGCCTAATTTTGTATTTTTAGTAGTGACAGGGCTTCCCCATGTTAGCCAGACTGATCTCAAACTGCTGACCTCAGGTGATCAGCCCACCTCGGCCTCCCAAAGTGCTGGGATCCAGGCGTGAGCCACTGCGCCCGGCCTATCAACTCATACTTTACGGCTTAAGTCAGATTGGGACTCTGCTGCTCAAATCCCTCCAAAAGTCTCCAATCTTACCAAGTAAAAGAGTCCTAGAACGGCCTCTGAGAGCCTGCCTGATCTGCTGCCTTCCGGACATCATCTTCTATGACTCTCCCTCTTCCTCACTCCGCTCCAGCCACACAATCAGCTTCCTTACTATCATCCATCTTCCCCTGTTCACAGCAGCTCCAGGGCCTTTGCCTCCTTCCTTCTTCCCAAGATGACTAGTGCACTCATTTCCCCTTTCCCTTCAAATGCCACCTCACCACGGAGGCTTTCTAAGCATCCATGACATGAGCAAATCCTGCTCCTTCTCCACATTCCCCACACCCAAATCCTGCTTCATTCTTTTCCACAGCACCTATTTTCTCATGTTATACGTATGCTTATCTTTCTGTCTTCCCCCTGACCCTACACACACACACAACAAACACACAAGAATGTAAGCTAGACACAGACTTCATCTGCTTTGTTCACTCCTCTCTCCTCAGTGCCTAGAATAGTGCCTGGCACACAGGAGAAATGAAAACACAAATAAAAGGTTATTTTATGGTTCTTGTTATGGTGCTGTAGCCATATGCTCACAGAAGTTCAAAATTAGGAGTCAACATATGCACTTTTGTGGATTCCTGAGCCCCGAGAAAATGATGTAAAATGCTACTCATATGCTCACCTGCATCATTCTGTGGGAGGGCTCCCAGCTTTCTTTAGGTTCCAAAATCTCTAAGCATCACTGTCCTAGACTAGAGGATGCCACTAGACACTATTCCTCCAAGTCTCCGGATACTAACTTTTTAGATACATTTTAACACAGGGGCTCCCTGTTGTCTTGCCTTCCAAGAGAGCAGAGCCAGCAGAGTGAAAGAGGGTGGGGACGGAGCGGGGGAAGATGGCGCGGTAGAAGCAACTCAGGATTGCAGCTCTCAGTGAAGACGCAGAGGGTGAGCTCACGCCACATTTCCAGACGGATCTTTGTTGCCCACAGAACAGGGAAATTCCCAGATGTAGGAGAGACACGGCCTGTAATCCCATCACTTTGGGAGGCTGAGGCGGGTGAATCACGAGGTCAAGATATTGGGACCATCCTGATCAACATGGTGAAACCCCGCCTCTACTAAACACACAAAAAATTAGCTGGGCATGGTGGCACGTGCCTGTAATCCCAGCTAGTCGGGAGGCTGAGGCAGGAGAATTGCCTGAACCCAGGAAGGCAGAGGTTGCGGTGAGCCGAGATCACGCCATTGCACTCCAGCCTGGGTAACGAGAGCGAAACTCCATCTCAAAAAAAAAAAAAGGAGAGACAAGTGACGCCAGCGCAGCTGTCTTGGCTGACGTGGCCGCTTCAGCCGCAGCGCAGCAGCACACTGCACAAAACACGCTGTTCTGGGTGCTCTGTTAAACCGGCAGTTTGAGATTTGGGAGGGCAGATTAGCATATTCATCTGATTAAACGGGACGTGGACAGTGAGCCAGGCCAGGAGATTCCCAGGAAGTGTATTGTGAGCTGGAGCAGTGGGTCGCTGCACGGGGAATCACACAGATCCCGGTGCCCTTTCAGCAGGCAACTGAAACACCTGGGAGAGAGTCGACCGTTTGACTTAAAAAAAAAAACAAAAGGGCTCTGAGGCAGGGAGTGAGGTGATTAGGCTTGACGGGTCCCACCCCCACAGGGACAAACAAAATGGCAATTCAAAACGCTCAGGGTTGAGAGTTTCACTGAGGGCACAGCTGAACCCAGGACGGTGCAGCTCGGTGGGGGAGGGGCGCCCGCCATTACCAAGACATTCCGCCCCTACTGAGGTACTCTCCCATTGCTGATGCAGCCTGCCATTGCCGAGGCAACCCACCATAACAGAGAGACTCTGCCAACAGGGCGGAGCCCATGGCAACAGGGTGGAGCCCACAGCAGCCAGGCGGACCCCACAGCAGCAGGGCGGAGCCTCGGCAAATAGTGACTAAACTGTCTCCTAGCTGGGCAGGACAGTGCAATGGATACTCATAAATAAATCCCAAAATCCCCAAGACACAGCATCTGAGGGAAAAAAGGGGTTTTATGAGTTCTGCTGCAGCAGACTTAAACGTACTTGCCTAGCAGCCCTGAATGAACAACAGAGCTCACAGTTCAGCACTTGAGCTCCTATAAAGTACAGACCATCTCCTCAAGTAGCTCGCTGACCCCCGTATACCCAAAGACTCACCTCAAAAAAGACTGATCAGACTGACATTTGGCGGGCAT